GGAAGTGTCCTTAGAAGTCCAGGGGGTGTCCCCCTCTTGGACTTGCAGGTGATCGGTTTCAGTTCACTTCGTTTTGCTTCCGTGAACTGATAGTCTATTGAGAAGGCGATGGGTTGTTCTCGAACCGGAAACGTGATTTCGTACCCGTAATCCCATACTCATGATTTTGAACAATTTGAATGTGAAAAATTCGGATCACTTAGAAAGTTCACCACTATCGTTCCCAAAGATATCGCCTCGGGAGACTCAGTCTTTTCTTTCAGGATTCAGCGACTTTCCCGACAATTGTCAGATGCTCCTTGGACTGAAGAGGTTTCCAGAGGAGGGACCATCCAAGCTCTCTGAGCTCAACTATTTCGTAGCAGCTGTGGCCAGCCGTCAATTATGAAAATTGAGGTACAGAACTTACAAATTACGAAATATTTGCAAAACTGTAAACAGGGTTCAAAGTCTGAAACCAGTTCCGCATTGTCACTACCGGCATTGTAGCGCAGCTGTTCCCCGAGGGTCAGCATTACGTAATTCCAATACCAAGTACTACTTAAAGATTGTAATGTACTTAGGAAAGACCAATGAGTTTGGAATGCGCAACGCATCCGACCATTCGGAATCGTTGAAGTTTCTGAGGGCTCAACTTCTAGATTGTTATCAAATTTAGTTAAGGTGGCGCCAGTCACAGCCGTTATCACTGAAGTCACTTGGGGCGTGTCAGCGAGGCGTAGGTTTCGGCATGGCCCCAGCCCTTTTCCCATCACTATTGAGCACCCGAAGCCGCAACGATCGACAAAAAAACAGGCCTGGCCCAGAACCCAAGCCCTGCTGGCATGCCCGTTTTACTTAAGTGATAACGGCTGTAACTGCCCCATAAAGGACTGAAAACTTTTTTCCTGAATGGGAATCTATTCTAAGGAAAGTCGAGCTTTGGAAAATGGGTTAAATACGCCAAACTAGTCTCACCCTTCTTAACAAGTAGTATACGAAATGCTAACGGGAATTCTGTGCTTTATTATAGGCACGGAAATTAGAGCTGTATTTGAATGAAAACACGGAAGAGGGATTTTGCAGCCCGTGAAAAGGTGCTACCGTAACTCAGGTCGTTGCAGTCCCCCTCCCCCTCCCTCGCCGGCCTTCTGGCCGCCCTCCGTACCAACAAAGCGATGAACCCATTTTGGTGAAACCTGCATCGTGTCTCGTACCCTGCCGGAGGCGGTAGAACGTGACAGTTGAAAGTACCTCAAAGTAGCAAACACACACCAAGCGTGCGGTATACGGTAGCAGTGAATCCCAGCACTGCGGATGCCTTCTTATAAGAACAAGTGGCTCTAAAAAGGCAGCCTGTAATTTAAACAGAGCGGCAATGCTTACCAGTCATAACAATGGAAGATCCGCGTTCGTGCAACTTGCAAAGACCATCATAGACACGGACATGAATGGTGGTGAATCGTGCCAAACGACGTAGGGCGGCTGCACGGAATCGCTGCGATACGCCACGCCATCGCAAAACGTCCGCCAATGACGCATTCGCGATTAACCGCTCAGCGATTTCTGAAACAGAAATTACTCTCAATGGTAAGGGAACCAGCACATTTAACACGTGAAAAAGTACTTAATTACTGGTATGAAAAAGCAAAAAGTTACTCAGTTACCGTAATGATCCGTCTGGGAACTGCTGGCAAACATTGAACAGCACACCCGACGTAGGTTATCATACACAGTGAGAGGAATGAGTGACATACTCTGAAAATTACCTATCATTAACTAGTAGGAAAGGAAAGGTGGTTAGAGGCACTGGGTGCGATTGCTGAGGGCTAACGGTTGCCGCAAACGTCATTGGTGGAAGGGCTGAGTGGCCAGTCATCCTCTCGCACCCATTCCACCAATGACGTTGGCAATGATCGCCCGCCTCCAGCAGTCGTGCCCGCTGCTTCGAGCAACATATCCTTCTCAAGGCCGCGGAGTTTGGCACAGGATGTCCAGCTGGGATTGGTTCTGTCGGTGGGTTGATCAGCTGTTTTTGAAGAACCTATTGCTCACACAGAAAAAGCCAAAAGGAATTAGAAGTACAAGACAATCAATTCTATCGCAACGGTTTTTTGAAAAACAGCTGATCGACATTCCGGTAGACCCACCCCCCCCCCCCCCCACCCCACCTGTGGCGTGGGCCTTGCCCCCCCGCCTCCAGCAGTCGTGCCTGCTGCTTCGAGCAACATATTCTCAAGGCCGCGGTGTTTGGCACAGGATGTCCAGCTGGGATTGGTTCTGTCGGTGGGTTGTAAGCTGTTTTTGAGGAACCTATTGCTCACACAGAAAAAGCCAAATAGCATTAGAAGTACAAGACAATCAATTCTATCGCAACGGTTTTTTGAAAAACAGCTGATCGACATTCCGGTAAACCCCTCCCCCCCCCCCCCCGTTTACTAATTTACTCACGCCTACA